AAGCTTCACGAATTAAGCAAACGTGACAAATCATACACGGTAACGGATTAAGCAAACGGTAACGTGATTATTTGTTAGAATCATACAATCAATCGGATTGAATCAAAATACTCTATGCAATTCGAATTAAGCATTCAAGAACATAGAACAAAATTGAAAGGAATAAATAATAGATTAAAATTAAAATAACCTCAAGGTCGGAACCTGAATACAGCAATTCGACAGGATTTGGTTAGTTCTCCATAGAAATTGTCAAAAACTTCGATTTTTTTCGTGAATAGTGATTACGTGAACAGTGTCGCGGCTGCTGCCCTAAGGGGGAAGAGAATGACCCGTCTTACAATCCAACTGGGTCAAACATACGACCCAGGCCCAAAACTAATTGACCCGAAATTAACTAAGAATAATGCTGCAACTTCAACGAATATTCTGGCCCTTCTACAGTCCGATTCTGACTTTGACTCCAACATAAGAATTGTAGCTCTTTCTCTTAGCTTTCCGGCGATTATTAGAACGCCTCAATCGGACTCCTGGAACTCCAGATATGATCGTTTCCGTGCAGACTGTTAAAGCTGAAAATTAATACGAAAAACAAATAAGTATAAAAATAAATTAAAATATAAAAACATAATAAAATAGAGAAATAAACAAACCAAACCATGGAAATGTATAAGTACAAACGTAGAGGAATGTGCATCCAAATGCACTGATCAGACCCTTTCCATCTTCATCCGGTAACAAGTATATACTCGTGGTTGTGGATTATGTCTCAAAATGGATCGAAGCTATAGCTTCTCCAACAAATGACACCCGAGTGGTACTTAAGCTGTTCAAGAACATAATCTTTCCTAGGTTCGGTGTACCCATACTCGTTATAAGTGATGGTGGATCTCATTTCATTTCCAAAATCTTTGAAAAATTATTAGGAAAATATGGAGTTCGACATCGCATAGCTACACCTTACCATCCTCAAACTAGCGGACAAGTTGAAGTTTCAAATCGCGAGATAAAACAAATCCTTGAAAAAACTGTCGCTACGTCCAGAAAGGACTGGTCCTTTAAACTTCACGAAGCTTTATGGGCTTATAGAACTGCCTATAAAACTCCCATCGGTACTACTCCTTTCAAGCTTATTTATGGTAAGTCATGCCATCTCCCAGTTGAGTTAGAACACAAGGCCTATTGGGCCATTAAGAATCTGAACTTAAGTTACACTGCCGCTAGAGAGAAGCGTATCCTGGATATTAATGAATTGGAAGAACTTAGACAGGATGCGTACGAAAATGCTAGGATTTACAAAGAGCGCACAAAGAAATGGCACGATAAGCATATATCTAGGAAGAATTTTAACATAGGTGACTTGGTATTACTATTTAACTCACGATTAAAATTATTTCCTGGAAAATTACGATCTAGGTGGTCCGGACCTTTTGAAATTACTCGAGTTTATCCAAGTGGTGCAATAGAGATTAAGGGACCTTCGATCGAACCGTTTATAGTAAACGGGCAGCGTTTAAAACATTACCATCTAACTGAACTCGAGGGAAATTCTCAAACGATAAATCTAGACGAGTCACACGCTCAATTAGAAGCCTAGTCTTTAGTTTTATTTGTCGAGCTTACGACATAAAACAAAGCGCTTTGTGGGAGACAACCCACCATTTTTTATATTTCCCTCTTCTTATTTTTCATTTCTTCTTTAGTCTATTTTTAACAAAAACAAAAACAAAAATATATCTATTTCTTTTCTTTATCTATTCATTATATTTCTCCTCTTTGTCTTATTTCTTTCTATTCTATGTTTTTTTCTTCTTATCGGCATTTGGCCAATGCTGATCTTCTTTATTTTCTTCTCTTCAGGATACTTCTTGCTACTTATTTCTCTTCCCACTATGTCTCGAGTTGACGATATGCCAGTTAGTTTCAGAGGAAGAAATCAGCGCACCAAATATGGAGTTTTATCCGAGCGTGAGATGTTACCTACTATCTACCTTCATCACGGTGCTATGACTGCTCTTGGTATTCGTGATAGTGTGCTTTTTCTGCTGAATCAGATTGGGTGGGATAGTTCACGCCTGATGACTTGCTATGCCACTTATCGGAACCTCACTTTGGAGTTCCTCAGCTCTTTGACATACTTTCCTACTCATGGGTTAGCTTTACGCCGTGGACTTATTATCTTCAGACTTTTTTGCATCACTTTCAAGTTTAACCATAAGGAATTGGGTGAGCTTCTTGGTTTTCCTAATGGCATAGGAGTTTATCATGAAACTCAGGAGGAGTATCTTGGATTTAGAGAGCTTGACTATTTTTGGGGATCTATTTCTGGAATCCTTAACCCTGAGCCTTAATGCGATCGCTTATCTGATCCGTACCTTTGTGGATCTCATTGATACTGATCATACACCCATTCGAATGGGAGGTCTCGTCACTATGATTGCAAATGTTGTTGGACTTCGACAACCCTTTAAGCATCTGAATGCTTTTACTGGTGTTACTTGCATGACCATCGAGTTCTGTTTCAACACTGGTATAATTGGTGATCTTGGCCCGACTCAGTTTACCTTGTTGATTAATGGTCAAGTTATGCAGCTGTTTACCTTGCCTAACCCTGCTACGAGTGTGCATAACAAAGCCAACTGGCTTTTTGGTCTTGATCAGCAGCCTTCTCCGCCCAGCACTTCTGAGACTCCGCAAGATTATGAGGTTTTGGAAGATTCTGAGGAAGATCCCACTGCTCCTCCAGGTTATTATGATATGGGCCCTCCTCAGCACGATTCTACCGTTCACTCTGTTGCTCCTGACACCGTTATGCATGAGGCTCCTACCATTGATTATGCGACTGCCATCCACGCTCTCCAGGTGGAACATCAGGCTTTGAGGGACGATTTGACTAGTTTGCGAGCCGATTTCTTTGGTTTTATGGATACTGTTTCTGCGCAATTTCAAGAAGTTTTCGCTTACTTTCATTCTTCCTCCGCTCCTAAGGCAGGACCATCTAGTGGCTAGAGCTTTTAAGTAGTTCATTTTATTTAGTTTAGCTTAGTTTGATTTTATTAGAAATTGCAATATTTTCGTTATGTTCTTTTTATTATTATGTTTTACTTTCCAAATACTTGATTCTTAAATTGTAAGCAACTTTGATCCTCATTCTAAAAGCAATTCATGTTATTTTCTTATAATTATAATGTTGCAGCTTAATATATTATATCATATAAAAATATTATCTTATAAGAATATTAGTATTATTGCATTCTTATTTGTTGCTACAATTTTTAAATATATTCCTTTTTCTGGCTCCTGCGTTATTCGTATCATTCTACCTTGCAAGTGAGATTCCTTTTTATTCTTTGCATACTGTCCCTTGTCAGTCACACGCTGGCTTGTTCCCAATAAAGTGAGACGCACGCCTCAGCCCAACACGCTGACTGGAGACGCACGTCTCCAACTGTTCCCACGCCATGCAGCTTTGAGACGCACGCCTCACGCGTGGTCTCCTGTGTCAGACGGTCGCCTCAGCATGTGTTTCGTGCAGAGTAAAAGTTGGTCTTCCCTTGCATTTACTTGTCTTGTCCGTTTCGTTTTCCCATTCAGCCCCAATTAATTCAAATTCAACACTCTTTATTTTCATTCAAATTATATTCTTTCCACTTCCCACCATTAATCCCCATTCAAATTTTCCCTCCCATTTTCCAACACCCACTTATTATAATTTATCACTCTTAACTCTCACTCCACTATAAATACCCTTCATCCTTCTTTCTCATTTCACAACATTTCTAACCATCTCTACCATTTCCTCTCCTACACCCATATTTTCTACCTTTTCCCTTCTTCAACCCATATCCATCTATGGCTCCACGAAACAACCAAAGACAAGTTAAGCCCGACCGACCACCACCCGACCTATCCAATATCATTTTCCGCGATAACGACGACGGCCAACAACAACAAAAGTATAAAAAATTCTATACCCGTTCCGTCGTTCCTACAAAATACGTAAGTTCGGAGTGTTTGGAAACCTTAGGAATGACCGATAGCATCGTATTCATGCTCAATAACACCGGTTTCACCAGTCTCTGCACGAACTCATGTCCAACCTATGAACCATTCGTGCTTGAATTTCTTAGTTCCTTCTCTTACACAACACCTGTCGACGATCCCTATACAACCGGAACCGCCAACTTCCGCATGTTTAACCAAGAGTACTCTCTTGATCAAGAAAGAGTCGATGAACTCTTATCTTTCACTCGCGGCGAGCATGTTCATTACAAGCCTTTCGATGATGACCACGATCTTTCTTGGGATCAAGTCGGCTTGTAATGAACATGCTCGCCGCGAAAGGCTTGTAATGAACTCAGGGTTAAGGATTCCAGAAATAGATCCCCAAAAATAGTCAAGCTCTCTAAATCCAAGATACTCCTCCTGAGTTTCATGATAAACTCCTATGCCATTAGGAAAACCAAGAAGCTCACCCAATTCCTTATGGTTAAACTTGAAAGTGATGCCAAAAAGTCTGAAGATAATAAGTTCACCGCGTTCTTGCTAACACCATCTTTGGTCGGACCAATAATCACAAGATCAACCAAAATGAGTTGTTCATCATTTTCTGTGCCCTTAATGGTCAGGCTGTCAACGTCGCTCCTTTCATGCTCAGTCACATCCACACATGCGTGAACGCAGCAAGTACTAATCCCTTTGTTTTTGGAGGCATCATCACATCTTTAGCATATGCTTTAGGCCTTTCCGCCGAGCTATTTTCTTTGTTACAATATATGATGCCAGCCACTTTTCTTGATGTCATCTATTGCCGAGATTCCCATATAATCTCTCCAAGACATGATGGCCGATTTACATTAGTGATAAATCGTTGTCAAATTCCTGATTTTGTGTTACCTTGTCCGAATCGTATCGACGTCCGAGTCCGCGCCAATTGGCGTTATGCTCTTGATGCACCTGCCGCCCAACAACCAAATAATCCCGCTGCAAATTTCGCAGCTATGCAGGCTCATATGCTTCGTCAAGATCAGTTGTTCCATGCCATGCAACAAAACCAAGCTGAGACTTTACGTCTCGTACAAGAAGTACAACGTGACCAACTAGAGTTGCAACGCCACCAACAAGAGATGCGACGCGAACAACATGAATATGCCTTTCGCCATGATCGTAACCTCGAATCTTTGCAAGCTCGCATAGCAGACGCACTTCATCTTAATGATTCTGATTCTGACGTACGACGAAGACCTCGTACTAGAGGACGAAGAACAAGAGATCATGATTCTCAAAGCAATGAGTGATCGCCTTTCTCTTTTCATCTGATTCTCCTTTGTTTTTATCGCATTGAGGACATTGCTCCTTTTTAGTATAGGGGAGTCAGATCATTTCCTTGGTCATTTCTATTTCCTTTGCTCTCTTTGTAGTATTTTTCCTTTTATTTCTTTTCTTGTATTGCAAAATTTCAATTCAATAAAATACTTATTTATGCAAATTTTAATCTCTTATGCAAAAATTTGTGCTTACTCGAATTCCCCCTATTTCTTGAGCCATAACGAATAAAATAAAACAATTTTAACACGCATTTATAAACATTATTCAACTAGTATTAAGGTTGCCTATTATAAATAAGAATTCGAGCAACTTAGCAAAATTATTATCGTCTTAACACTTCAAAACCCCCGATGTGTTGGATCGATTTAAGTACTTATTATACCAAAACCTTTAAAACTTAGTTTTAGATTAGCCCCGAGTAGTTTATTAAGCAGTCGGCACCGCCATAAACACAAACTACGTGGAGAGCTGATGAATATAAGTGATTGATCAAATATTCTTAAGAAATTGCTTTTATCTGAAGATGCACTTATTAAGTTAGATGGTCCTTACCAGATCATTTAATCCAACAGTTGCAGAAACTATAAATTTAAATGCAAAATAATCCATTATAAATTGGTTCAGTGGTCCCTGGTGCTGAACTTGGTAGGGCGAATTACGGTTCGATCCCCCGCAATTTTTAATTGGAAAAAGGGAGTACCATATGATTAAATTACCAGAACTCCTAGCTGGCTTACTAAGATCAAATTCACTAACCAGTTACTCCACTATGTGCGTGTAAGGTAAAGGGCTTAATGTGATTGCACTAGAATGAAAACGGGTGAAATAAAACGTAGTATTAGGTTAAGCTATAATGACATGACTTAAATTGGTCTGCTTAAATGGGGTTGTCCAGTGTTCCTACGGTAACTTTGGTGTTTAAGTTCGACTTAAATTCTCTAACGAAAAATTCAACTTGCAACCTGGTACGAAGTGATGTATGTTCTTATATCTGTGTTTAACTGTGCGTCAGTGATTTTCATTTTTACTTTTGCTTGAGGACAAGCAACGGTTCAAGTATTGGGGAGTTTGATAACACAATTTTATATAGTATATTTGATTTAATTTTCATAAATAATGTTAGTATTTTTATTTAATTATTTCATTTTATTTCCATATTACGCCGGTATTTTTATTGTTTCAGGTATTTTATTTTAATTAGACAAATTGAGCAAAGTGAAGAAATTAAGAGAGTTATTGGACTAAATATGCAAGAAATGAAGAAAAGGGGTGTGCAAAGCAAAAATGATGGATCAAAAGGTTTATTATCTCCAAACTGGGCCCAAACGAAATCAGGCCCACGCAAGCAAGAGAGCCCTAAAGGCACGTGCAAGAATGAGACGCACGTCTCAACTCCTCTCCTACAATTGAGGCGCCCGCCTCGGACCCTCCCCTTAGTGGGAGGCGTCCGTCTCAACTGCCACGTAGGCCCTAGGATGATACATGAGGCGCCCGTCTCAACGTGGTCAAGTGGATGAGTAAATCTCGGGACGACCACCTCCACTCAAAGCAGTTAGAACGAGAAATTTGGGGAAAAGTGGTACGAAAATATCTCAAAACGTGGTTACATTCTACCACTATAAAAGGACATCAGGAAATCAAAATCAGGGGCCGTTTTTTTTGCATTTTTTTTCCAGTTTCAGAATTTACCTTCCCGCATTATTATTTTCCATTGTAATTCAGTTTCCAGCAGTTATTTTCCAGCCAGTTCCTTTTCAAATACTTAAATTTTATTTCTGTTGAAGAACCGGGATTTTGTACGAATTGATTCAAGCTTCAAGAATTATTTCCAGCATTTATTTAATTCAGGTTTCTTATTTACATCGCTTTAATTTATTTAATTAATTATTTGCATGAGAGATATTTATTTAGCCATGAATTTATTTACGAATGTTAATTCCTTTAATGTATTCATGTCTGCTTTTATGAGTATGTCTGGCTAAATTATTTAAATATCGGTATGTAACGAGTTAATTTGAATGGATCCGGAACAAACAGGCTTGATTATATTTTATAAAATAAACACTTTTTCTGATTTAGTTATCTAATTTATTTTGTTAAAAAAGGTTTAGAAACCAACAGAGCGAAAGTTTGAGGCTAATAAACTGACTAAGATTAGAAACCAATAGAGCGATAGTTTGAGGTTTAAAATCAGATAGTAGATACTAGGTATTGTTTTTAAAGACTGCGACAGCGTTTTAAAACCAATTAAACTTTATTTATTTTCAAAAAGTAATTTTAAAATCAATGGGATAGCGAAAGCATACATCAGAGTTTAAAATTATAATTTACTTCAATAGAGCGAAAGTTTGAGAATAGATTTTTGAATAAATACTTTTTGCTGAAAAAGATATTATTATCATTTTTAGAAAATAAGCCAGTGGAAAGCCGGATTCTTTAGTGTTAACGAAGTACATACCGATATTCGCATTATTATTATTTCAATTAGAATTAAGTTTTATTACCCAAAAATTCCCCTAATTAATTATTCGATGGCTATAGCTTTACACAGTAGTTTAGGTTACGTTAGTTCGATTTATAGTCCCTTAGGTTCGATATCTTTTAAAACTACGCGATAGGGCTGTATACTTGCAGTCTCCCGATTAATTTAGACGATAAAGTCGCGATCACTTTTCAAAATTCTCTGGTAACCACCGGACTGCTGCCGTCATTCGCCGCTACTAATTTCAGCGATCTTCCAGCAAACTAACCCTACCGACAAAAGTGCCTCCTTCGATCCAGCTGATCCCGACAATTTTTCACCGCCGCACTCGCCACCGTAAAACTTTTCTAAATCTGATACTCGTGGCTACTCCTTAAAACTTTACACCAAACTACGATGATTTTCTCAAGTGGTATCAGAATTATCATAACTCGGATTCTACTGCTTCGGTTGCACCCACTGGTAACTCAGCTATTTGCTTCTCTTAATCATCTTCTCTTAGACCTTGGGTCCTTGATTTTGGTGCGTCTGATCATGTTACTGGTAATAAAAATATTTTCTCTTCTCTCTCTACCTCTGGTTTCTTACCTACTATAACTTCTGTCAATGGTTCTCAAACTCGATCTGAAGGAATTGGTATTATTTAGATTTTACCTTCTCTCTTTGTTACTTATATTCTTTATGTACCTAATTGTCCATTGAATTTACTTTCAGTCAGTCGTTTAACGTGCTCTCTTAATTGTATTGTCACCTTCACTAATAGTAATGTCATCCTGCAAGATCGAAGTTTGGGACGAACAATTGGCGTCGGATGTGAGTCTCAAGACCTTTATTACCTCTCAGTGTCATCTCAGACCTACTCAGCCAAAGATTCTTCACTAACAATCCATGCTCAATTAGGTCATCCTAGTCTTTCCAAATTACAAAAGTTGGTGTCAAGTTTATCGAAAGTATCTAATTTACATTGTGAGTCGTATCAGTTAGGGAAACACACTCGTAGTCAATTTCCCAATCGAGTCAATAAACGAGCTTTATCCCCTTTTGCTTTAGTTCACTCTGATGTTTGGGGTCTCTCAAGTACTATCTCTACTCTTGAGTCTAGGTATTTTGTCACATTTATTGATGATTTTTTACGTTACACGTGATTATTTTTAATGAAAAATAGATCATAATTCTTTTCTATTTTTAAAAAAAATTAGGCTTAAATGCAGTTTTGACCCCCCTAGTTTAATGTTTTTGGAGTTTAGATCCCCCTAGTTTAAAAGTCAGGTTTCTAGTCCCCATAGTTTTCAAATTTGGGATTTTTTAAGCCCCCATCCACATGGCTGCCCAAAAAGTGACATGGCACAGGGAGAGTAATGCCACATATTTGCCACATATTATTTTCTTATTTCTTATTTAGAATAATGTTTTTAAAACATTTAAATAAAGGATATTAATTTCCAAATGAATTTTTAATTTAATAATCCATATTTTCTGAAAATCCCAAATTGCCTTAACCTAATTTCATCTTCCATCCTTGCTTCTGATCATCTTCAACCCTCCTTCTTGGTACGACTTCCATCTACCTTCTATTCCATCTACCTTCTCTTCCTTCCTGCAAGCATCCAACATGTCTCAAAAATCCGTGTCGAATCCGAGCTACAGGAATCGTTCTGTTATACATGAATGCCACTGTGGTATCGATGCTCCGTTGATGACGGCTTGGACCGATTCAAACCCAGGACGACGCTTTTTCGGATGTGGGATGTACAAGGTATGATATTCTTCAATTACAAAATTTGCTCCTCAGAATTGAGTATAGACTGAATATTTTGTGACCTCCATTGTTGCAGGTTCAAGGTTTCAAGAAGTGCAGTAATTTTGTTTGGTTGGATGAGGAAATGAATCCTAGGGCAAAGGAAGTGATTGGGAACTTACTCCACAACTTGAATGAAGAAAAGCAGAGGGTTAAAGAGTCAATGGTAAAAGAAGAAGAAACAAGGATGAAGATCAAATTTTTAAAGAAACAGTTGAAGTTTAATTGGTTCATAACCATCTTTGTGTTGGTTGCATTTGTTGCAACAATAATAATGAAATGATGTAGGTTTATTAGTATTGGAGGTTCATTGTTGTCTGTAGGAGGTTCTTTGTGTTGGTTGAAATGATCTAGGTTTATTAGTATTGGAGGTTTATTTGTATTGTTGTGTGTAGGTTTATTAATGTTGGAGTTTCTATGTTGTTTAGTTCGTAATGATGTTTGAGGTGTATAACTACTCATGGTTTATAATGAAATGATGATGTTTGAGGTTTATAAATTGCAATTGCACTTGAATTTGTTTCATTATGTAGACCATTAAGTATAACTTCTCAGTGTAATAATGAAACATTATGTAGGCCATTACAAATGCAGAAAAAATGGTCTACCTAAATACAGAAAAAATGCAAGAATTTTTCAAAATGCAGATGCAGAAACAGATGCAGAATTTTTCAAAATGCAGATGCAGAAACATTGTGGCAACACAGAATTTTTTAAACACAGAATTTTGCAGAATTATTCAACACAGTTTGTTGCATACTTGAGCAGCCAAGACAGTTTGTAGCAGAGTGTGTACCAAATTCATGATTGTACCAAAACATATCCATTACAAGATACATATCCATTACAACATATCCATTACAAAATATTCATTACAAAATATAACCATACTAAAGATATCCATTATAACCATACTAAAGATTTCCACTAATACATCAAGTTTCATTCCAAAAAAAAGCAACATCATTCCTAATTACTTCTACTCTTGACTAGGCTGAGGTGCTTGAGATCCCTGACCAATCTCAATCTGTTTTTCTGCATCTTTAGTCTTCTTAGTCTTGTTAGTCTTCTTAGTCTTGTTAGTCTTCTTAGTCTTGTTAGTCTTCTTTGCCTTCTTGGTTGTCTTTGTTTGCTTGGTCTTCTTATTGCCTCCTTTTGGTATCTGCCTATCAGCTGCCCTCTTGCCCTTACAAGTCCTACTGTTGTGTCCAGTTTGTCCACATTTATTGCAAGTGACAGTTGAAAAGCTTCTTGAAAGCACATGGGGGTTCTTTGGCTCATCACCTGTTTTATTTCTCATCTTTTTTGGACGTCCAATTGCTCTTCTCATGACAGGAGGACACATAGGCACATGATCAACATCAGTCCATAATTGTGGTCCATTGGTTGGCATGACAATATTAGCATAGCATTTCTCAAATGTAACTTTGCTGCAAAACAGAAATAATGTTACACATGCAAGAGTTAATAGAACATATCATAAACAGGACATAGAAATATGTTACATAACATGTGACTCACAAACCTATAATATGGAGAGACATATGCTTCTGGTTTTTTCCTTATGTTCCAAATGCAGGAGATAACATGACAACATGGGATTCCAGACAACTCCCATTTTCTGCAGCTGCATGATTCATTCTTCAGATTTACACAATATGTCTCAGTTCCATTGGTAACTCCAAAGATTGAGAGATCATCATCACCATGCCAAGTTGGGGTCCAGTCTTGTGCTTCCCTTTTGTGCTTCTCAATTAGCAATTGGATTCTAGGACATATTACTCCTTCATATCCCTGCAATAATCCCTTTTGTTTAGTTATCCTTTTAGTGATATAATGTTTGATTCCTTCCAATAAGGTTATGATTGGCTTGTCTCGATGCTCCAAAATTTCCCTGTTAAAGGCCTCACACATGTTATTCACTTGAATATCACATTTGGCATATGTCTTGAAATGTGATCTTGTCCAGAACATTGTTGGAATGTCATTCAAGTCCTTCCATGCTCCACCATCTAAAAGCTTCAATTTCTGCATTGCTCTTTCCCATATTGGAATTGAAGTTGCTCTGGCTGCTCCCCACATAGCTTGTTTTAGTACCACACCTCCATGTTTTTTCTTCCAATTACCATAAAGGTGTTTCACACACAGTCTCTGTTCCACATTGGAACTTAAGCCTTGGATAGCAGGAACCAAACCCTAACATAAAGCACACATAATTAAATGTTACATTCTATTAGTCATAAATAAAAGCACAGATAAGAATTAAATGTTACCTTCTGTTGGTCAGAAATAAAGCCATAACATATATCATTGACTGCTCTTAAATCTTCTAGTAGTATATGCAAGAACCATTCCCACAAATCTTTGGTCTCAGCCTCAACCACTGCATAAGCAATTGGATATATTTGATTGTTTGCATCTCTGCCTATAGCAGACATCAATTGGCCACCATAATCCCCCTTCAAAAAACATGCATCCAAACCAATTATTGGTCTACAATACTTGGCAAATCCTGACTTACAAGCATCTAAACAAATATATATTCTTTCAAATGCAGGACTGCCATGGTTTTCTGAGCATTTTATAATAACTGTACTCTTTGGATTGGACTTCAATAACTCCTCTCCATAACTTCTCAAGTGCCTGAACTGGTCATAACCAGCACCTTGGATAAGGTCCAATGCCCTCCTTTTAGCTCTATATGCTTGATCTCTTGATATCTTTATTCCCCATCTCTGTAGTGCTTCAGCGACTAAACCAGCTGGTTTCATGTATGGGTTGTGCCTTAGAAGTTGTGTAAACCTTATAGCAAGCCATTGGGTCTTAGCATTCCTGTTGTCTGCAGTTCTGCAACAAGTATGGTCACTCTCATAACTTACAATTTGCCAATACTGTTGCCCATTCCTCAAACTGAACCTGAGGTGAAACTTGCAGCCATCCATACACTTAACTATAATCCTCTTTGCATCATTCTTCCTGATATAGACATTTTTTTGGTTTTCCATTCCATACTCTTTAATTGCATCTCTTATTGTTTCCTTGTTTGAAAACATCAATCCTATCTTGAACTGTAATCCCTGCCCACTTTTATATGTTGGGAACCTTTCTTGATCTTCTTCATCATCAGTACCAGGGGGTGTGTATAAATGTTCCTCATCCTCTTCATCTTCAGATTGTGATTGCAGGTTCACTACACTAGGTTCCTCACCTAAGGTCTCAGGAGGCAGCACTGACGTCCAGTCCATCTCATCACACTCTCCACTATCCTCACAATTGTTACTATCTTCACTGAAATCATTATTGGGTTGGCTCTCAGCATTTATTTGAGGTCCTTGTTCAGCATTTATTTGAGGTCCTTGTTCAGCAATATTGGGTTCAGCAGGTTCAGCAATATTGGGTTCAGTAGGTTCAGTAGGTTCAGCAATATTGGGTTCAGTAGGTTCAGGTACAATTTCAGGTTCTTGTTCAACAGGTTCAGCAACAGCAATATTGGGTTCAGTAGGTTCAGGTTCATGTTCATGTTCATGTTCAGCAGTTTCAACAACATCAATATTTGGTTCTGGTTCAGGTTCATGTTCAGCAGTTTCAGGTTCAACTTCACAATGTTCAGCTACAGCAATATTTGGTTCTGCTACACCAATCAATTCTACATCATCATCTTCAATTACTTTATCCAACTCACTAGGATCCACAATTTCAGGTGGATCAGACACCTTATGCTCCACATAAACATCAATTACTTCATGACCTACAACATCTTGTCCAAATTGCAGTACATCCCTATCATTGTTTAATGGCCTTAGACCACGGGTAAAGCTAAATTTAGGGTTCCTATACCACAAAGATCCAATGTCCATATAACCCTGACCTTTAACCAGTGCCTCCAAATCCATGTATGACATAAAGTCAACATCAAACTTCCAATTCATCTCAGTAACCTCGCCCCCAACATACAAATGTACAGGTTCATTTACAAATCTACCCCTATGGTGTAATCTTAACCTCACTAATGTCTCTGGTGGTGGCCTGAAATTAACAATATTAAAATGCAATGTTAATAAACTAACCCACTAAAAGCCAAACATTGAATATTCGTTCATGGTGGACCACAAAAGAGAAAATACTAAACCCACTAATATGAGACAATGGTGGACCACACAGAACTATATAAAAACATGTTCAAGAAGACAACAAAACTTACCTCATAGAATATCTTTCTCCATCTTTCCTCATCGCTCTAAATATCAGAATGATTATACGAAGCTTTAGGAGTGTGATGGTTGAAGCTGGTACCACAGAAGGAAGACGAAGATGGAGTGTTGGAGGTCGTACCAAGAAGGAGGGTTGAAGATGATCAGAAGCAAGGATGGAAGATGAAATTAGGGTAAGGCAATTTGGGATTTTCAGAAAATATGGATTATTAAATTAAAAATTCATTTGGAAATTAATATCCTTTATTTAAATGTTTTAAAAACATTATTCTAAATAAGAAATAAGAAAATAATATGTGGCAAATATGTGGCATTACTCTCCCTGTGCCATGTCACTTTTTGGGCAGCCATGTGGAGGGGGGCTTAAAAAATTCCAAATTTGAAAACTATGGGGACTAGAAACCTGGCTTTTAAACTAGGGGGATCTAAACTCCAAAAACATTAAACTAGGGGGGTCAAAACTGCATTTAAGCCAAAAAATTATAAAGAAATAAAAATTCAGTTTGGTGTGTTTATTCGTACCTTAAGAAGTGATAATGCTTGTGAATATGTATCCCAACAATTTCAAACTTTTATGTCTGAAAATGGTATTCTCCACCAAACATCTTGCCCTCATACACCTCAACAAAATGGGGTAGCCGAATGTAAAAATCGACATCTTGTAGAAATCACTCGGACCTTACTTCTCCATGGTAATGTACCACTTCTGATTTAAGGAGACGATGTGCTAACGACATGTTACCTTATAAATCGTATGCCATCATCTGTCCTTAACAATAAAATTCGTCATTCAATCCTTTTTCCCCATTCCCCCTTTACCCAATTCCTCCCCGAGTCTTCGGTTTTACGTGTTTTGTAGACAATCTCTCTCCTAGTCTTGATAAACTATCAACTTGATCACTAAAGTGTGTTTTTCTTAGTTATCATCGATCCCAAAAAGGTTATCGTTGTTATTCACATGCCCTACAATGATATCTCATGTCGATCGATGTCACCTTCTTCGAGTCTGTTCCATATTTCGAGTTCAGCCAAGTAACTCCGGAACCCCTTTAGGAGAGTACTCTCACACCTCTTATGATAGTCATGTATGTCATTATCCCCCATCATTCTAGGGAACCTAGTCCACTAGATAACCATACGGTTGACCCCCTGACTTCTCGTCCACTTCAAACATATCAGTGTCGTCAACCAACGTCCGTCGTACATGTCCTTGAGGTCATTGCAGACTCTCCTCTGACGCTCTCGCCATCACCTGATCCATCCTGCAATTTAAGTCCAATCTTCTGATTGCCCTTCAAAAGGTATCTGTCAAACACGAAATCCTTCTCCACATTATATTGATTTATGTTATCATCGTATTTCCCCTTTGCAGTATACTTGTTTGTCTTCTGTTTCTATTCCTAACACTCCACGTGAAGCATTATCTCACCCTGAATGGAGGCAAACAATGATTGATGAAATGTGTGCTCTTCAAAGCAGTGGCACATGGGAAGTGGTTCTTATACCCCCTGGAAAATCCTTAGTAGGTTGTCGTTGGATTTATACAGTGAAAGTTGGTACAGATGATAAAATTGATCGATTTAAAGCTTGCTTGGTAGCCAAAGGATACACTCATATTTTTGGGTTGGATTATAGTGATACTTTCTCGCCTATAGCCAAGATGACATATGTTAGACTTATTCTAGCCATTGCAGCCATTCGACATTGGCCTCTTCATTAACTTGACATCAAAAATGCATTTTTACATGGTGATCTTGAAGATGAAGTATATATGGAGCAACCACCTGGATTTGTTGCTCATGGGGAGTCATCGAATATGATTTGTAGGTACACAAGTCTCTTTATGGTCTCAAGCAATCTCCGAGAGCTTGGTTTGGCAGATTCAGCATTGTAGTACAACAATTTGGTCTGGTCCACAGTGAAGCTGACCATTCTGTCTTTTATCGCCACTCAGCTTAAGGGTTTATTTATCTTATTGTGTATGTAGATGATATTGTCATAATTGGTAGTGATGAGCAGGGAACACTTCAGTTGAAATAACATCTTTCGAATCAATTTCAGACAAAAGATCTTGGTAAACTATGGTATTTCTTGGGTATTGAGGTAGCCCAATCTAACGATGGTTTAGTGATTTCTCAGCGGAAATATGCTATAGAAATATATAATGTTAAGAATATTTGTATGTAGAATAGTCTCACATCGATTATATCATATAATTAGTTGTAATCTCTCTATATATAATAAAGTTTCCGTAATACTTTCAAAACACACAGTTTAACCTAAATGTCTCTTAGTCTCTCCTAATTCAATAGATATAATTAATTCAAAATAAGGATTCCATGAGCTTCAAACAAAATTGTCATTTTTTAACGTAAATCAAAATAAAAAATAAGGGAGACAAATCTACAGTGTATTGGTGTAAAATTTGGGGAAAGTGGAAAATTGAGAAATGTTATTTTCATGGGTACCAAGCAGAGGATAATGAGAGTTTTGATTTGGTTTGCTTACAATGCATTCGATGTTAGCAAATATCGCATCGCCAGATCGAGGAACAACATGAGTCATCATTAGAGCTCGCTCAGATTTGTTAAGCTGCATAAATAATTAAATTAAACGATTCAAGATCGAATGAAACACAGGTCAAGATCGAATGAGAAAAACCCAAAATATGAAAAAGTGTAAAACTTTTAGGGTTTGAAATTTCTCTTAGTCGAATCTGAGCGATGAAGAGATTGCTAGAGCCTCTTTTTAAAAAATTTGTTCATCTATTCAAATCCAACTAACAGGAAAAAAAATTAGGTTTTGATTATGAAAAAATTTGAGGAAGAAGATGAACAATAATTAATTTTCAGAAATAATTTTTAGCGTCGACTTTTTCAATGCTAAATCTGCCACAAGGGCTGCCACGTAGATATTTAACAGATTTTGACTAATAGAATAGACGGAAGAGACTGATATACATCTATCAAAAAATTAAAGGACCAATTTAACACGAAAAAAAGATAAATGACCAAACTGAACCTAAAAATATAGTTAAGGGACCAAATAAATATTTTGCCTAGAATAATAATATCAATTATTACATTATTGTAATAGTAGTATTTCTACTAGTATAAATACTCTATTTGATTCATATAAATACACACCAATTTTTTTTTAAAGACATAAGTGATATCATTCTATTTTCTTCTTCATTTTCTTAGCTTGATATTATAACTAGATTAGTAAGTAATATCATCCTATTCATAAATATTAACAAAGTTAGATTTGTTAGATTCAAATATCCGACGCTTTTCAATATATTTTAATTTTTTAAGTTTCTTAACAAAAACTATCATCACGTGATAAACTTTTTTTATATCATTATTAAAATAGCATGATTTTTTTTCCTTCAACCTAGAAACAACCTTACATGAGTTCTTATCAAACTCATTCAAAATGTAAGATCAATTTGATTATCCTTTTGTTAAACAAACATTATTGTAACTTTAATTTGTGAACCTGAACTTGCTTTTTACAACTTCCTGTGTCCATTTTGATTTATATAGCAACACATGCCAGCTTATAAGTTAGACTAATCTTGTGATCTAATATATAGCAGTTAACCTAATATAAGTAGTGAAAGAAATAAAAGGTATGCCAGTTTATAATGACTAATCTTGCTACCATCTCAACTTGTAAAAGGAATCTACTGAAGAAGAACTTATCAGAGGATTAACAGCCAAACTACAAGATTCGGGTTTTGATATAGAGGACGAGGAGGCAACTGCTGCACTATAAACTCTAGCCAAACTTTCAAAATCGACCTCATCGGAGGACTTGTCAGAATTCACATGTTATTTTGAAGAGCCGGATATGTCTTAACCATCACCGGATAAAAAACTTGATCTCTCAATTTCCTGCCATATCTATGTCTTGTGATCGGTTCTAGACCCTTTACTGCCAGATTGAGTTCTGAATGATCTCGAGTAGCGGGAATGGTTCTTATTCCTTTTCTTTGTACTGTGGTTATCAAAATTTTCAAGTGGGTGATGACCATAAGAAACAGCCTTGTTTCTATTATTTCTTCCATCCCAAACCTTAGTTCCAGGGGAATCGAGACCTGTAACATTACTAGTTTCATCATCTTCAGAAGTATAAGAAGTATTGCACTGATTCACTCGTATGCATATCGTTGAATACCTTGGTCACCATTACTTTAGAGTTTCCAGGTAAAAGAGTATCAATTGAAAGCAATGGGTCCCTAGCAAGGTTATCAGAAGCATTTCTTTCTGCAGATGTCTCTACATTTCTGGATTGGCTATTTTTTAGCTGTGTAAGCTGAACACCAGCAACGGAAGGATCTAAGAAAAATGGCCAGATGAAATTTGAGGCTCATCTGCTTTAGTGTGGGATAGCCCTTGAGCTGCATAAACCCCCTTGTTAGTCTTGGTCTTATTTATTACAACTGACTCAATTCTTTCATTTAACATTTACTAATTGATTAACACTTTGCTATCTAAGTATCGGGCCAATAAAACCTTATATGATACGAGCTCTAGCTACATGCATCTTCCGACTCATTTCATGTTTATCAATTGGAAGCAGAGTGAGCACAATCCCAACCGTTATTTTCCGTAGTATTGTTAAACCTGACTAGATCTAAGATACCGAGACTTCAATTCATGGTTTATCATTGTATTATACATGTCAGTCGTATCTATATTCTATGCAAAACGGAACTATATGTTAGACTTAAAATTACATAATACATTTTTGTTTAAGTAAATATTTATCAAATGATCTAAAATATCAATGATCTTTCCCGTGCGGTTTTTAACTAGTGTTTGTTCAAAAAAACACAAAACTGAAACACCTGTACTTTTAATATGCTTTCATTATTTTCAAGAAATATTAAGGACCAACTGCCATAAGGGGATTGAGTTGGGTCTGAAGATTGTGAGAACAATAGATGACACCACTTCCATTTCTATTTTTCAGTTTGCTAAAGACAGAGCAACCACAAGTTCAAATAAAATAGAACCACGGACACAGTACATTCTCACATGAAACAGAAGGCATAATGACACTAAAGTCTGCAAGTTTATACTCATTTGATTGAGGACAAAAATATTTACCTCTTTAAAATCAAACGATATTTGGATGCTCCAAGGATTTGTAAATCATAATCTCCTTTTGCGCAAGCTCGTCAATCTATAAAACAGCATAGATTTAGCACAGTCCAAAGTTCATATAATCAAAACAACATAAAAGATAGTAGGGAAAAGAAAATGTAGAGTTGATGCTAACAATTATTCGAGCACAAACAAAAGACTAACACATAATATGTGGCCTATTTGATAATCAGTGTCACATATATCCTACCAATTGCTTATTTTGGATTAATTTTCCACACTCTCCATGGTTCCAGAATCTTCCACCAATTAAGATCCATGAAAAACAACACAACAGTACACATATTGCATAAAGCCAATAAAGAGCTAATAATAATGCAGTTCAACTAATTATGCATGTGAGGCATAAAATAGTCCATTCATAATTGCAAAAATCCAATACATAAAATAAATAAATGATTTCAGGAGCTGTTCAAGTAGGTAACAAAATTTGCGTTCAAAATTAGCATGTAAAAATAACCAAAATTTCACTCAATGTTTCAAGTCCAAAGGCACTTTCGGTTTGAAGTATCGCCTTTAGAATGAAAAGACCACCAAACAAAATAAAGTGACATGTAATCCGTAAAAAGAAAGACAAAATAAGCAAGAGAGGCGGTACCTACGAAAGACGAATAGGCAGCAGGAATCACTTTATTTCTTCTTCAATGGCTTTGTGCTATTTGGGAGAGACACTGAGAAACGAGAAACAAAGAGGACGGATGCTGGGCAAAGAAGATTGAGGGAGAAATGAAAAGTGATTTGGTTGGGATTAACAAAGACTGAACCAGCCAAAGTCATAGAAACAATCGTCACACAGATTGGGGTCTACGATCTGCAATGCGGTTGGAATTTGCGATTTGGGAGTAGCCAACAACCAGATACCAAAAGGATTATGAAATGAAACAGAAATTGTGCACAGACCTACACACTACAGACACCTGATAGTAAACAACTAATGTATCACATAACATCCAAGTTTACATTAAGAAATACCGGTTTCAATCGAGAATAGGGCTGTTGTTTTCTAAAATATTGCTCTGGTTTTGTCATATAAAAGTGATTATATAGTGAAAACATCAAAGTATTATCTGATCACTAATAAAGAGATATGACATAGGTGAAAATGAAAATAAAACTACCTACGTGTATTCATACTTGGTTTATTTCTCCTGCCCGGGCGTTTTCTATTGATGAGAGCTAGCTACAGAGATAGTACTTGTTATGTTCACAAGTAAAACACTACTTAGCAAACTCTCCAAATGTGACGTTTCTGCTACCTTCACAATATCATTAGAGGATCAATTCTTCTCGTAACCCTCCAAGAATGGAATTGCCCAATCTCCTTCTCTTTTACTTTCCCTATCTACTTCACATACTACAGCATTGCTCTCTTCCATAATTTCATCGGAAGCTAATAATTGTTTGGTTTTCCTGCGCCCTAATAACACAAGCTCCAACATATTCCTGCGAACTGTGTACACCGGATTAGGCTCAACCAACCCTCCTTTCTCATAAGCCTCCCTAAGAAAAACAGTTTGAGCATTTCCCTTTGTCGATATGTAAAATATCCCCGGATGCCTAAGCAGTAGCTCACGCATATTAACTTCGATAGCAAAATCCCTTCGAAAATGAGCCAATTGATCAACCTCAACCATTTTCTCCAAGGTCAAGCTCAACACCTCATGAAGAACAGCAACAGCCCTCTTCTCATATCGTTGCGCTCCGCCGCATTTTACATCTTTTCTCTCATAAGGCTTTGTATAAGAAAGCCTCTGCCAAGTTTTCATCTTTTCCCTAAACCCTCTTTCAATCTTAAACCCGGTTGGAAAACTCATAGGAAAAGCAAATTTTGTCTCAAATTCACTTAACCATTTCTCTCTATACTCTCTCTCCCTCCATTCCTCAACACGAGCCTTTCCCAATTCATCATCCCAACCAACCAAAGCCACAATCTCCAAATCAACCAACCTAAACTCATCACTATATTTCCCGAGAATGGAGTCTCTAAAATCACAAGGAAGACCCAATTCTCTTCTCATCAACCTCAAAGCATGCACATGAAGAGTACCATTCAACGACATCATAAGCAACTTCTTTACCCTCATCACAATCTCAAGCTCGCAGCTTTTCGCAACAACATCCTCCAACAATATCAACTCCTTCATCTTCCTCGTGATTCTGCAACACATGTTCCTCCTAAAAGGGTGAAGAAAGAGGTCAAAAACATGAGGGTACTTTTGAAGAAAGGAAGTAACAGTGACATTGAGTCCGAGGATGTTTCTCCAGCGGGACATGAGCTGAAGCGAAACGAAAGAACCGCGTTTTCGATTTGACATGAGGATGTGGATTTTGAGGACAAGGTTGAGTTTTTTGAAATGGGTTGTTAATTTGTCCAAGTGTGGGTCTCTGACTCGGTCCTCCAAACGGGTTTGGGCTGAAATAACGGGTTTTTTCCATCGTTTTTGGTTGAAGAGGAAAAAGGGTGAGAATGAAGTTGTGGTTGGTTGGAAGATTCTGTATCTGGAGGTTAATAGTGGATTCATTTCATTGTTGGGTCGGAGGAGATTAAGGTGGCGGTGCACGGCCAGTAATGAAGCGCCGGCGGTGGTGTTACGCTTGCAAAACCATTGAGCCCGTTGAACCTTAAAATGGCTGTTCGCCAAAGTCTAAGGAGGACTTCGTTGGATGTAGGGGTGGAGCCGATAACATATGCCTACGTTTTCTTTTTTCCTATTACAAAAATCTAGGTTTTTTTATAATTTTATTTAGTCAAAAATATTAGTTCTCAAATCACAAGAAAAGTCTTTTATATCTAATAGGTCGGTCTATATAAATAAATATGAATAATTTTTTTATTATTATTATGATATATTTTATATTTTGAAATAAAATACAAAAATAAAATTTGATTATCTTTGAGAACTGTGAAAATAAGATGAAAACACTTTATGAACAATGTTATAATTTATTTTCACAAGTCCTCTTAAATAAATAGTCTCACAAAACTTTTGTTAATAAGTAACTTAAAACAAATCAATACAAACAAATTTTTAGTCTCATTGATTTTTTTAGTTTGTTAGTCTGTTTACACAATATTTGAATTGTTTATTTATATATAGGGTTGACAATGAACCGAACCAACTCGAAAATAATTCGAGATTTGATTCGGTAATCAATTCGTTGGACTTGATTCATGAATCAAATGAATCGAACTTGAGCTCAAAATTAAGTTTGCAAAATAAATGAGTTGAACTTGAGCTATGTATAGTTCGATTCGTTTTGTTCTTGAACTGACTCGATATATAAGTTTCATGAAGACATCAATACTTAGTTTTCATATTTATTTATATCATTTAAAAGATGATAAAATAATTTACAATTCTATTGCTTAAAAAAATCCAAATTTAACATAGTAAAATATATGTTACAAATTTAAGTTATAACATTTCATTATTTGCTCATATTACCTACTTTTGATTATAATATCTTGAATTACAAATGTTATTTTAAGATGAAATTTATATCATATGAAAGCTGGAAATATTATCTATAATTCTTGTGAATACAATAAGGATAAATAAGATTGTTCTAACAAATTGAATTTGAGCTGAAAAAAAGTTTGTGATGAACTCGAACTCGAACTCGGTCAATTCTTAACGAGTCGAGTTTGAGCTGGAAAAAAAGTTCATGATGAACTCGAACTCGACTAATTTTTAACGAGTTAAACTGAGTTGGGGCGAGTTCGACTTAATTCATTTCCAATCCTATTTACATATGTCTAAAATAATAGGTTTTATGTAGGCTAACATTCTAACCAGACCTTAGAAAATATCAGACTCGGACCTAAAAATAAACCTATGACTGACTACAAGCTAAACTAAGGCTTCAATTTTTTTTGGCAGGTCAGACTTAGACTTGACAATGTCTAATTCGGTCCAGCCTATTTCCTCCCCTAATTAGATGTATACTTGAT